ATCTATGTCGTGAACGTATAGGTAAACTCAACGCTCCGTGCCATGAGTATCAAAAAATATAAAGAGAAATCTTAAAATATGTGACGCATCTACTCATACATCATGTAGGTGTTTTACAATTTGTAACAATGTGTCTCGGGGTGTAAAAACGCGATACAACTATAAACGGAACTCGCTTTTTAAACATTAATAATATTCATACGATTACTTGAATATCACAACATTTTAATTTTATTTAAATCGATTTATGAACTCTTCGATACACGCATATGATAATAAGATATACGAAATACATTAGACATTATATATATATGAGGGGTTTTTATTGATTATAATCGCTAAAACTAAAAATTTTGGAACACTTGCAGTGTATGGATGATACAATAATGATCATAAGATACTGTCTTCATTTAGATATTTATATTGGTTTTTGAGATCTGTAATGTTATGTATTGCTTATCTGTTATGTTATCTGTAATGCTCATATAACATAATATTATAACTGTCTAATTATTTATTATTTATATCATTACAAAAATGTAACTAAAAGATTCAAATATGGCCGAGTACTTGGTATTTCACAAAAGGTAAATAATTTAATAAATCTAACGGNTTATCTACAAGCAAAATAATTTAAATATGTGCCAAATATAACAGAACTGCATGTCATCTGCTGCGGCCCATTGAGGACACTGTCGCCTCAGTCATACTATTGTATATTGTCTTCTTTTCACAATTCGAGTATTAATTATTTTATATCAACATTGACGCGATTGCCGTCTGTTCTATCTTTCTAAGCATACAAATTCCAGTGGTTTTCTATTATTCGAGAAAAATCAACATTCGATCAATTACCATCATTTAGAACATTCAAATATAAGTGAAATAAAATTAAGTAATAAATACACAACATCAATCGGCCCTTTGATGATACCGCCGTGCCGTCAACATTCTTTCGCACTATATACCGTTACAATTATTTTAATACAAATTTCGAATCTACGCATAACACTATGTTTTTTATGGTTGACCTTTTTTTTTATTGACTTATTTAAACACATAAAATTTAACGGTTTTTTCTATTGAAAATGAAGCGTCTTGATCCCTCTAGAAACCCCAAGACGAACACTCTATCGAGAATCCTACACGCAGCAACAATTACGCTCCACCAACTTCTTTCGAGGATCCCTCTCGAATAGCTAGCTCAGACTTTTAGCAGCTATATTCACTCGTGTTCGATTTATTTATTAACTCACTTTTTAATTCAACCTTTTATTTTCCTAATTTAGAAATTAGCATTTTTTATCTGAGTGCACACAGGTGTTAAGTGTTAATTAATTAAATTGTGATTGTCGTCCAACGACTACAGGTTCACGTGAGGTTATCCATAAGTATACACCCTAGCGTTCCAACACCGTGGGCAGGTATTATAATTATATTTTTCTTTAGTTATTCATTTTGTCACCATTATCGGATTCACGACTCCGAAACCCTTTAAACATAGGAAGGAAGATAGTAATATAACTAGTAGGCTGAACTTTTATTATTTACTGAGATAAATCATTCTTTGTAGTACCAAAACTTAGATCGATTGTTTCACACTATATAGGTACATTTTTATGCCTACTCCTTTATATTTCATTCTTTATGAGTATTTCTACGTGATTGTCCTATAATTCTAAATATATTTGTCTTCTATTTCTGTACTAAGTGTCCTAAATCTACTACTACCCCCCTAACCACGACTCTCTCTTTATAATCTCCCCCGTTTAAACCTCTTTTAACTCTCCACTTATTTGCCCGCTTCCCTTTCCCCTTTTTTTATTTACATTCCTATTTTTTGTATTACTACAGATCACGTAAAAATAAAAAACATCATTAATAATTGGCTAGCGAGGACAATGTCATGTGTGACTTATATTGTCATCATTATCATTGTAAATGTAACGTAATAATTGAACAAAACCGAAAAAAAAGGTATAAAGAATAGAGAAATTTTCGAAAGTAACGCCTTTAATAGTTTCAATTTTGTTTTTTTGTTAAAATTCAGGTAAAATATTCCTAGAAACCCGAAAATATTTTGATAAACAACTTATATTGGTGTTTCTAATAAGTGGTAAAATTGTCAAAATATTTTGAAAATATTGTTGAGCTATTTACAAGCATTATTTAGTGTTTTACATAGTTTCTCTTTTATAGGTACTACGTGAATATTGATAAATTGTTTGATCAAACAAAAACGCTTAATAATTTAACAGAAGTTTCATTATGAGTTGTACTTAATAAAAACATTTAAAGTTCAATGTAGTTGTTTTTTTTTTTTAAATGGTCTTAAGAAAATTGTTTAATGAAATTGTAAATTTAACGGCATTTCAAAACATGTATAACTAAACTTCACTGAGAATCGTACTTCGTTAAAAATGGTTTATTGTTGCTTATTGGAATGAATTTAATTTTTTTTATGAATCCTACTTTCCTACGTGCAACAGTGGCACGCCCGTCTCCAGTATCGGCTATATTTTGTTTGTCCTTATCGCCAGGACTCCCGTTTTAACGTTCGGCGGACGCTAGAGAACTCGGGCTAGTGTTGTGTAACATATTATTCGTTTTAATATTATTATAATATCGAACACACATACACCATTATCAATATTGCTCACAATATCTTATTATCTTAAAAGTTTTTTCGGGATAGTATTTTTTTTTTTATCTCGGGGGTTCGTACCCGACAAAAATAAAACCGACATGGCAACTACGACTAAACATACAATGATAGCATTATAAAATAATATTATAATAACAGTACAATTGAATTTCGATCACGTCGGGTCCGCGAAACGGTCGATTTTCAACGTATACGGCGGATCGTCGACATCGTTTTTATTTTTTATATTCAATTGTTGTATTTTGTCATGTTTTGTCAACCGCAGACAAGACGCGATTACAATAACTCAGTAATTCTAAATATTTTTATGAATTTTCAAAAATATAAACTACACAAGATACGATGACGACGTATGTATAAAATATATACGAGTTCTATGCCACAGAAACGGACGCGACTAGTGATGTACTTCCGCCGTAGTATTACTATCGCCATAAATAAAATATAATCAGCGGCCGCATTATCAATCTCTGGTTTCCGGGATTTCGTTGTTGATAATAATAAATTATTAATAACAAAAATTATAATATATTATTATTGAAATATAGTATTTGTTGATACGAAGTCGTAAAATGCAATATTATTATTATTATGTCGTGACGATACCACCTTAAACATTTTTTTCTGTACGTAATCGACTCAAACACGCGACAATGATATAATTTAACCTATATTCTCCCGTCCCAAAAAGAACACATAGCCAAGACATAAAGAAATTTGGTTTACAAACTCAATAGCCCAAGAAATCTTTGCGAAATAAATTAGAACGATTCTGTAATTCTATGTGTATAGATAGATTGTATTTATACACCTTCTCTCGCCTTGCGTTTTTTTCTTATTGGCTTTAATAACTATAAGGATGGGTCAATACATAAATGATATCGGTATCGGTTTAAAAAAATTTCCGATATTTTACCTAATAATTTCTGATCTTCTAAAATCATTAGTTATTATCGGGCATTATATCGGTTAATTTAAATATGAATCGCGCTTGTCGCATAATTTATAGTTTATCTAATATCGATTTTTTTTTTCGATTAATTGGCATCTATTATTCATGAATTGTATTAATTTTGTTATCTTAACATATTTTTGCTAGATTTGTATCTTTTTTCTTAATTATTATTATTATTGTATTTCTAATTTCCATAATTTCTACTTTACCATGCCATTGAGGCGTTGAAATATAAATAAATAATTCAATTGCAGGTGATTATTAGGAATGTATTATCCGATCGTCATTATTATAAAATTCGTATTAGATAAATCGTGTAAAATTTATATTATATTTTATGGTCTTTGTTTCAATGGTTTTCATTTTTCTTAACTTTATTCTATTTAAATTCAATGATTTAAAACTATAATTTTTATTTGAATGCTTCGTCGTATAATATAATATGTATAAGAATAAAAAATCGGTAGTTCATTATTATTATTTCTATTTTTTTGTCACATATAAACGTTCAAAGTCTTTGAAATGTGACGTGATGGAAAAGAAATACTATGATTTTATAGCCCACAAAATTTTAGCGTTTATGTAACTCAGCATTTTGAAACTTTCAACGCATAAAAATATTACTATCTATGTTAATATATTAATGGTCCGATTCGACATTATCCATCAGTTCAGAAGTTCAGAAAGGTATATTTTGAAATGCGGTAATCTGTACGATTTTTGTCAAAATATGATCTTAAAATGCTTCTAAAAAAAGTTTAATGCATTCAACTCACATTTGTTTTTTAGGCCACAAAATTAAACATATAATTTATCTTGTATTAAATTTCCTATCATATATCTTGAGTTATGTAATTTAAATAATTTAATCAAAAATGTTAACAATTAACAAATAACAATTTCACAAAAATCAAACTCCGTTTGAAAATTCTGCTATACGAACTTAAATATAACTGTTGTAAATCGTGTAAAGGAAGGAAAAGCATACATTTTAAAATAAGATATATAGGACAAAATTCTGAAATAAAATTGAAAAAGACTGCTCCTAATTCAAATTTCGCTAAACATGTTTTTGAAAATAACCATAATATACATTTTGATATTAATACAGACTTAGAAATATTAAATACCCAAATTAGCATTTACATAAATTCAGGTTTAGAAGAATTACACATACACAATAAAATAATGAAAAATATTTTTAGTAATATTTATATTTTGAATTGTACAAACTGATTTTAAAAATAATATATTATATCATTACATTGTAGATAATAAAACATAACCAAACTATCTATATTTCTTCACATATCTAAATCTAACAATAACTCATATTAAATAATATAATCTATTAAAATACATTATTTCTAAGTAAAACGACCAATTTTTATAATTTTTACTCCGTGTATTCCGTGTTTTATTTTTCATATTCAGTCGCGTTTTACTTATTGACTTATCTCACTGAGATTTATCTAATGATCGATGTATAATTTTAAACCGTTTGTACAATACATTTATCATAATACTCCAGGCGTTGCATTCATTCATTTATTTATTTATTTATTTCTATACATAAATTATTTGTTTGTACATACAATTTTTACTTACCATGAATTAATTTGTAATCAATAACCAATATAATAATTTTACAAGTTCATAAATAAGAATACAAAATAGGTACAATAATATATTAAACATTTTGACAAAATCTGATATATTAAAAATAACATAAATTCCAAACGATCCTATATGTTTTTTACAAGTGTACAATCTACACTGTACATTGTATACTATATCGGCATAGGAATTTATATTATGTAATACAAAAAAAAAAAAATTGGAAAATTATTTTACCTTTAATTTAAAAAAAATTATTTTTAAACATATGACATTTTGAAGAATAAATGTTTGAACATGGAATGTTCATCTCACGAATGATCTATACCACGCATGTTATACATTTATATCTAAACAAAGTCAAAAATAATATTATTCAAATATTTTTTAGAAACTAAAGAAATCTTAATTTTTATTTACTTTCCATGTTACCGCGATTGGATTTCTTCAAAAATTTAACTCCCAACCAAGGTATTAAAAATTTCGCTAAAATAACTTTTACAATTATAGAAATGATGGTTCCGATCACATTTCTATCAATAAAATTGTTTGAAAAATAACTTTCAATGACTAAATTTTGAAACATAACCATTTCTATCGCAAAATATAACTGCAAGTAGAGTTAACACAAAATTAATACAATGAAGGTATAAATAAAACTGTCAAATTATCTAAAATCGACATTTAAAGGTCATAGCTATATCTTGTGTTAAATAATATAACTACATTAAATCTTTAAAATATTTTAATCAAGATTTTGAAAGCTGGAGTGTCAGTATTAATTATCTTATTAACATGGTTTTTTTAATTGTTCATAAATAATGTACGGTTTAATAGACAAACATGATTAAAATAAAAACTACAAACAAAATATACAACACAATACTACACTTATACATTATATTCAGATATTAACATTAGGAATTACGCCTCATAAAAAAGGTAAATTCAATTAAACGGGTAAACTCGATATCTCGTAAAGTATTTACTTTTGAATAACTTTTGTTTTGAAAATTAAAGAAAAAAAGCTGGTCTAAAAATTAATATTTACAATATTTTTTTGTCATCCTAATTTGTATGGTTGAAACTAATACCTACTTTTGATTTTCAAATTACAACCTATATTAAAAATTCCATAAATAGATCGAGTATTCGGTAATACAAATTTTAAATTTTCATTAATCCGTTTGCTAATTGTAGATTTTTAAAGTTCTAATACTTATTAGATATGATTTTGAAATATAAATTATGTTGTGTGTAAAAACCAGAAGCTATAAGTGATAAATTCACTATTATTCAACCTAAGGTAGGTAATAATGTTGGTAATTAATAATGTACATTGTATTCCCATCATTTATTTCATCTTATTAGGTAACTAGTTATTGGACATACCTAAATCGGCTCGTAGCGACAACAGAACAATAAAGATGTGTTTACGAAAGCAAATTTGACGGTCATAACACGCAATTAGACTACGCGGTTAGGTATACAACTTGGATGGTAAACTCGTAATAGCGTGAGGATTATGCGTTTCACGAGAACCGTTAACCACAACAAAGCGATTAAATAATCTGTCAATGCGCATAAATCCCTAATATTAAGATGTATATTTAATAATGAATGCGCAGGGTTCATCCACCGTGACGACACTATAGCAGCATATTTTGAGTATCGGATCTGATAGATATTTAAGCGGAGTTAATTTGGTTTTTTACCAGACCAATATGATTGAAGAAGCGCCCCACTGCATCATGAACACCCAAAAATACTATGGCACCATAATCGTGCTACACGCACCGCAAAACCCAAACAACGAGCATCGGGAGCTGATAGTTGTGTTAAAGTACGGCAGGACGCGCATGAAGTCAAAGAGGTCAACCAGTGACGAATTGCGCCCAAACTTGGTGGATATCGAATAGCAAGCGTTTATCCCACATACAGGTGGCTAGCTAAATACGTTGTAAAATATGCTGAGTGAGAAAATATCCCGTGCTTGGTGAATATCGTCGAAGAATCGAGGTGAAGTTCGCATCCGGAATAATCACCTCCGTTATGCCAGGACAACCCTCATCACCATCAAAAGTTATACTTTTGATCACCAGGAACACTTCTGGAACGGACTGAAATACCACTTCGGTATTACTGGCCCACTTCCGTAATACAAAACCCTCGGCTGCAAGAATGGATGTGAATTTCGACCGAACAATTTGCGTGCTGCCAACGGTATCAGAGCCGTAGTAAATATCGTTCACGTACGATTAGTGGAGCAGCGGGTTAAACACCCATGTGGAATTAAGTCAGTTCTCATCTGCGAATTAAAGTAGCACAAGAAGTGCGAGGAAAAGTGCACAATTCAATCAGTTCTTTACCGTATTTAATTCATATTCGACGACCTTCTTATACGAGGATTGACGCCATAAAACGTGTCGATATGTGCGATATTGAGGGATAACATTTTACATATTATATCGGTATTAAATGCATGCCTAAACAAATGAAAACGAGTAAGCATCCACGATGTCTTGTAGAAGTCGAGACCTCGAAAATAATGATGCATTTAATGACGTACCATCAGAAGCTTGGGCGCGTCGAGAATTACGCGAAATTTGCCAGCGCTACAAACTGCGTGATGTAATATAAAGTATCGGCTGGGAGTGGTCACTACGAACATATGACCGAGTGATATGTATTCAAACGTAAAATCGTCATATTTGCCGTGCATTTAATCATCTGAGATCAACTTCTGTTCGAATTGTTTTGCAGAAATGCCCGAGACACTGGAAATAAATTGTCACGCATTTAAACCTTTTAAGTCAACGGAACAAAAAAACGACCGGACTCATAAACTTCGAGGGTGTGAACTCCGGCTCATCGATATTTCAAAAACGATCAATCAACTGCCTCGGGGACATGAATAAAGATACCGCGGTCGGTTGAGAATTTAGAACATATACAAGGATGCTAAATCAATCAAGAACCAACCGAAATAAAACGCTGCCAGAAATAATCGATCAACAACAACTCGACGGCACATCCATAATCGAAAAAAACAGATCTGTCAAAGCCAAGTGTTTAAAAACTTGTTTCGTATGGCCCCCTATAAAAACATCACGAGAGACCTCCGTTTATAAAAGGCAGAATCCAGGTTTTTAATGATAATGCTGGTTCGAAAGAGAAGCGTGGAAAAATGCGGCCTTATAGTAACGACAGGAACCCCGGCCAGACCGGAAATGTGGGCGGCCCAATTCGACCAACGGAAACCTAGGGCTCCGCACACGTTTGTGAAATCGTGTTTATTTATGAAGCCGAATCAATCGAAACGCTGATAACTTGACAACCTCTGGAACGGTATGGAATTTGGACTAACGCCTATCCAAGCAAGACGCGTGACAGTCGGATTACCGAAACCGGACAACAATGATGTAACCGCAATTCACGACAGGTGGCTGAGTATCTAGCGGTGGCCTCGTCGTCCTTGGTGTTCGTGTACAGAAGGCAATGCACCACATTTTGCCGTTGATCTTTCGTGGTCCGGTCAACGACCTAAATCTATTGAAATATGACGGATACCCTTTACTCTTCTGTCTCCCGTTAACGTTGAATTTACTTGCGTATATCACACGGATTGGTCCGATCGACGAGTATCAAAACGCTATCCGCTATCTTTTTACATGTACTTTTAATTGTCGTCTTGTTTCTCCTAGTCGAATTTAAGTCATTTCGACGTGCGTCTAAGGGAAGATGTCATTTAGACGCGAGACAATCGGGCGCATAGCACTGTTACGGGCTTCGGCTTATTCCCTTTAAGTATTATAATATTATAATGATCACACGCAGTGCGGAAATAGGATATTATTTAAGTATGGGCCACAGCGTTATTCGCGAAGTCAAATTAAACGACGAAAGTTATTGGATATCAAATCTACATTCTCCGGACGAGGACTGGTTTTATAACTGCACCTTAGCCACTGCCATTCTCGGCGCACAAAATTGGCAAGGCAACTAGTACTAAGGCTCTAGCGTAATACGAACTGCCGTGAAAAAACTATTTTAGCAATATATATTGTTACGCCTATTTTCACATGACCCAGATGCAGGGTGAGGTTATCATTCGACTGAACAATACAATAACATGGTGTAGCCAAAAGCAAGAATGATGCATCTTTGGCTTTGAGGTCCAGGACACATGAGCAGCGGCACGAAATATTATCGGTGGCGACGGCGGCTAGTGGTGTAGGCAATACCGGTAAATTGGATAGACGAGGTTCATGTTGATAGACGACGACGACGACGACGAATATCGGCCATGAAGAGATATCGACTATAATTGTATAAATGTGGAAGTGTAAAGGCGACAGCGGTGAAAAAACACACAGGTAATATTATTTGCGGGATGTAAACGCACGGCGAGAGACACTAAAAGGATCGCGAACGAGTCTCGACGTTAGAATCGGCACAACAGTAAGGGCCAACACACAAACTGACGCGCGAAGAGTCCACGTAAATCGGTGCATAGAGACATAACGAAAAATGCTAGGTTCACGAAAACACACGAAAACACATATAATAATGTGACGGACTGATGAAAATTAAAATTGAATTTGTCTCTATATTTGTTTGAGCCTAACACAAAATCTGATTGAAAAAAAAATTGAATTATTAGTATTTGAATAGCCCTGTAGGATACTCTGTATACTATTAATGTACGTTAATAGACAATTAAACAGTCCGTAATAAACGATATAGTAGACATGTTTTTGCTAATTGATTTTTTTTTTAATTTAACCCGAAAAATAATAAAACTAATCTACTTGGAATCGTTCAGCCCTTATTTAACAAAGTGGTAAAGAATGGTTCATCATGATCAAAATTAACAAAATCTCAACTCTTACAGCAATAAACAGATTGGGAAGAGGATACGGAATTAATAATTTTTAAGTTTATAACTAAGTACAACCCTATTCACGTATTCTTAAACCTGGAAATCAATGTTCAGTGGTCACCCACGACACCAAAGATTAACTAACATTTATTTACTGTAGGTCCATATACTATCCATTAGCTGGAGATTTGTATTTATATTAGAGAACAAATAATTATGTTCAACAGTATTAATTAATTTAATATTTTTCAAAGTTTATTACGTTACCGTTATATTCGAATTAATAAGCCATGCTATATTGATGAAAACTATTTCTTTAATATTGAATCCTGCACCCATAACTGAACAAGTTGTAGCTATTATTCGAATCTGAAATTCACCAAAAATTAATTTTATATATATATTACAAATACTATCAATATATTACATCATATCACAAAAAACCAAGTGAAGTAAACCAATGAATCAAATAATTAAAAAAATGAATGTTACTTATTATTAAATGACTTTTATGAGCCTAATTTAAAATATACAAAAGAAGAATAAATTGTATGAATATTATTCAAAAGTCGCCATCTCATTGGTATTATAATTTCGTATATTATTAATATTCATTGAAATACAATATGTTTTTTTATTTGTTATATTATATTCGTATAGTTTATCTGAAAATCGAAATATTTGTCAATCCGTAACAAATCATTCGTTAAGCGGTTTTTTGTTTTAAATTAAAGAGGATATCACTAGCAGTTTTAAGGCATATATTTTTTAAATAGAAATTTAAGGCGAAGAAATGGAGGATGAATGCTTTTCGGGGATTTTTGTTACGAGAAAAAAATTATTTTTGTTGAATTATGAATTACTATAGCAACATGGATGTAATGAAACTAAAACAGGACAGACATACCTCGCACGCAATGGTTTTTTCATCAATTTTTTTTTAAATTTTTCGATGGATGTATACTGTTAAGGGAGAAATAAATTTCAATTCACAAAGATTAAATTAAAATATCCGAAATAGACCTCAAAATTCAAAAAATTATCAAATAAATAATTACAAACCATAAGAATATTGCGAATTTCTAATTATTATAACAGATATAAATAAAATATCTGATTTTATGGTTTGAGTGATAATTGATGGTAAAAACAGGAACTGATAAATATATTATACACTATAACAAATTTGTCTTTTTTATATTTTCATTTAATTATTTTGACTAACAAATATATAGAGTATATGCAGTATTCCCGTGATTTTTCAGCAAAATTTTGAGAGTATACGGCTTATGAGTATTATGTAATATGTAGTTTAGCCTGTGGGAGCATCACTGTAGCGTAGTTGCACTCACTGTTGTAGGAGGAAAATTGGGAAGGTTTGATACAGATGCGAACTTAATGTATAACTGTAAGCAACGATACAAAATTTCAAACGAAAAAACGATTCGGAGAGTAGTTCAGTTGATAGTGTTGCTTTGTCAACAGAAAAATATGTAGTATATGTCATATTATGTTAAAATGTATATAACAATATGCGTCCCCGTGACAACAATGATTGTTGAAAAAAATTTAAATAATAAAAACCTCACAATAACAAAAAAAAAAAAAAAAAAATAGTTTCCAATGAAAACCTTATTTTTAATCTTTCAATCATTTTTAACCTAATGAAGCAGGTTTTCTTTTAAACAAAAATACAATTGCCATATCAAATACAACAACTTAAAATAACAGTCTATCTGATTTTTTCTCGGTTTATTGTTGGCTTGAAATAAGATACTTCGGAAGAATAAAAAAAACATACAACTATGCGCTGTACTGGGGGAGTAGGTGAAAAGTGAAAACATTTTAAACTTTATCGTTTGAATCTTTGTATTTTACAGTAACAACACTATAGTACCATTACTTCCTCATAATTTTAGGGTAATTTTAGTAGAGAAGAAATTCAATGTATTATTGTAAGCTAACGTAAAAATGATTCTGTGTGGAGTTCAATGAATAGTGTTGTTATGTCAAAAATGTATATGCCATGTTCAGTAAACAATAATATTGGAATTGTTTTTTTTAAATATTGAAATCTTGAAATTGTATATTTTCCAAAATTTTTTTCTGCTTGTTTTTTTTTTTTTTTTTTGAAAATGGCGTTGAAAGTGAATCTACACGCCTTGACAGATTACTAATTGGGCTACACGTAAAAATCGGAGCAAATTTACTAGAAATAAACGTTTACGCAGACTAAAATAATGATAGAAATGATTTCTTAAAAATACTAACTAATACTGATATTGAATAATTTAGTTTTGCTGATGACACAATTAAGTTATTAACTGACAAATCAATTTATAACTTATTTCATGAGTCTAATAAATTTTTTAAATTCTGTGTATTCTTGGTTTTGAAATATAAAATACAAACTAAATCTATCTAAATCTAAACTTATTCGTTTTGAAATAAATTCATCAAATAATCAAATAAATTATAAATTAAATATTCATTGTTTGAAAAGTTTATTTTATTTTCATTATTTTTGGTTTTCAAATTAATTTAATATTAAAGAAGTACAATAATTTAAATATATTGGTTTGATTTTTAAATATAAATTAAAATGGGTTAGGAAATTTTAATAATCATGTTATATAACAAAGCCATAATATTTTCAAGAATATAGATATATATATTTTAAAACTTCTCGAAAAGTGTTATAATATATTCAACCTTAATTCAATCTTTTTATTCAAATGGTATATCTTTTTGTGTAACTTAGAACAATCATTTATATAGACTTAATGTTACTATAAATTGAATCATAAAATATTTACTGAATTAACCCACTTTTACTAGTACAATAATTAAGTTTAATTTATGGAATGTGAAAAATCTGAAATGTATTCGTAATTTCTCTGTTTTATTCCAATTATATAGACATTATCACTTATATCCTATTTTCGATCATGAACAGAAAACAAGATTTAAACAAAATATTTATATCCGTTTATTTAATTTTGTAAAATTTTTTGGATCATAAAGTGTATCTTATATCAGTCCGAAATTATATAATACCATTAATAATAATATTAGTGATTGTGATAGTATAATTATATTTAATGTCTTTTATATACAAAATTTTTTAAATGTTAGCTTAATCCTGTTTACAATATTAATTTATAATATTTACATAAATTCATTATTTTTTAAAACGATACATTAAAATTGAACAATCTGCTCTATCCCCATATTTGTGGCTAGATACTATTATATTTATTTATACCAAATGTATCCAAATATATTTAATCTGTTAATTATATTTTTAAGAACTGCTTCCCCAGCAAAATTTTTCTTATCAGTAGATCTACAATAATGTAATTCCCAAATGTAGTTTTGATATAAAAACTTATTGTTATTGCAATAAATGTTTTATTATAATTATTTTTACAATTAAGTTCATTTTGTGTTCCTATAATGTAGTAAAATCTAGAAAATTTACGCAATGTACCTTATATCAATATGTTCAAATCATCAATATTATTGCCTTGTAAAATATGTATTGCCGAACTCCGTTCCGAATCGCTTATAGTTACCAAGTATTAATAGTTGTGTACCGATATACATTAAATTCTCTTCTATATCCTAACATTCCGAATTCTTACGGACAATAGTGGCCCGCCCATCGTGTGAATTATGTCCGAATCTTTTTTGTTTTTCTCGTTGAAATAAATTCAAACCATATGTATGGAAAAGATTGTCGTCCAAAAGGTACTTTTAGGAAGTCTTTTATTTATTTTCCAAGTGGTTTTCATAAGAACGGGGAAAAACCAGGATAATACGTAAGAAAAATGTGAAATGTACGAATTATGCTTTTATTATTTTATCAGTTTTGTTAATTGTTATAATTTAGCCAAAACTCTCCCTAGTAACTTAAAATTTAGACAGAAAACTTTAATTCGCCTTTTCTTGAGGTAGTAAAATTAGATACAAATCTAGTCTATTTTTGAGCTATTAATAGACATTTTAATTTATCGAGTTTTGTACGTATTTTTTATTCATTAGGTACTCTGAGCTAAAACAAAAATACTTATTTCTTTATTTACAACTATAAATATTTTTAGCGGTTTTATTTTCTGTCATTATAGCGTATTATCTAAATCTTGCAAAACAAGAATATTGAGTTTTTGTGTTCCCCTAAATTTTTCAAATTTTGATGCTCTAATCATGCTTACTTGTGGTTGTTGTCCTTTCATTAAGTATTTTAATACTATAGGTATCTAATATAATTGCAATTAATGTATACTTTTTTATTTCATTTCAATAACAAATAATACTTACAGTAAAAGTAATAATAAGATTTCTTAGTGTTTCAGACAAATTTCTTCCGGTAATGTAATTCCTCAACTTGATATTGTGAAATCCGTAATAAAAGCCAAATAATCCAAATATCATAGGGANAAACAAAATTTTAGAAAATAATAATAGTCTAACGTAAATTTATATAAATTAATAATTACATGAATATTATATTATTATAATATTATACCTATAAAACTCTTAAAAAATATTTCAAAATTAAATCAAGATAGGAGCCTGCCCACCTCTCGTAATCGTTGTGAAATCGATTAAAGTAATTTATCAAAAATACTTCAATATTCAAATCAATAAAACGTTTATTTTCGTCTCCTAAAGACAAAAAACAAATTAATTTTATTTATTCACTTTCGAAAATGTTCAAAACAGTCGGTTTGTAAAAAATATTATTTAAACACTTTTAATATATCACACACCCATATCCGGTGAATAATTTCTAAGATATAACCGTTTTAATTACGCATTAAAAAAATTAATATTCAATAAAATTGCACGCTATGCGATAAGGAATTACAAACCTTTTAAATGATTAAAAAATCTGATTAAAATGGCTAAAGGAAAACACAAATATTTTCAATTACTGAAGCATTACAAATAGTTCCAAAATATTCGGGGAAGCGGAAATACGACCGTTTGTAGATACATGTGAATTGATAATGAGTACTATTGACTCTAGTAAATTGATATTTTTTGCAAAAATGGTTGCATCGGCGAAGTTATATGTAGAGTGAACAATATAGTACGTTGTATAGATATAATTAACTGGGCTGATTTTAGAATTTTGAAACTCCTTATGCCAAGGCTAATTTGCCAAATTAATTATGTTTAATAATAACGAGTAAAAATGTATAAACGAATTACTTCGGAACAAGCTATTTAAGAAACAGTTATTACAGACAGAAATTTGATTATCGATTGCAGAGTGCGAAAATTAGCAGTAGGAGACGGGTTCATAAGTAATATTAATAGGAATAATAATGATTTTTAATAAAATTTCAGCAATAATATGAGTAATTTTGTTATTAATTTTCAGAGGGGAAATAGTATTAGAAATGTAAAATGTTTCAACTGCGGTAGAAAAGTCACCCTTTACGATAATTGATAATATAAAATTTCTAATAGATACAGGAAGCGATTAAGGCTAATAAACGTGAACAAAATAATATATCTTAGGGGAATTAATAATAAAATAATACAAACGTACGGAAAAGTACGTATTTTTACAAGGTGCGTTTTCGGCTATTTAAATAAATAAAAGTAACTCGTCAAGCTATACAATTTATATGGATTATCCCTGACCCATTAGCTATAAATAGGTGTATATTTAAAATTATGATCGAATATATTTGTTTGGAAAAGGAATAATAAGAAAATAAATAATAATATGTAATCATAATTTGTATTATTATTATCATTTAGAGAAGAGAAAATGTACTATTCGGGTATATTTGTTTAAGGATGACTAACCATAGGGAATAATTGTAAATGAAAACACTGACAAATTTAAAACTACCAGTTAGGTTAGGTCCTCCATCTCGTTGGGGTCCTCTTTATTTCCATTATGTTCCATTATCTTTGTCTTCTCACTATTTATTTTAAGACTAAGACCGAAAAGGAATAATAAGAAAATAAATAATAATATGTAATCATAATTTTTATTAATATTATTATTTGGAGAAGAGAAATTGTATTATTCGGGTATATTTGTTTTAAGATGACTAAACATAGGGAATAACTGTAAATGCAAAAACAGAAAAATGTAACAACTACCAGTTAGGTTAGGTCCTCTATCTCAGTGGGGTCCTCTTTATTACCCTTAGTTCCATTATCTTTGTCTTCTCACTATTTATTTTAAGACCCATTCTCTTAACTGCTTCTTCTAGCAATCTGACTGCGTTAACTGTGTCTGCAAGCAATTTACCTATAATATCCAAATCCTCATCATATCCGAGGAGCCGTATCTTATTCTGACCAATTAGTAGACCACCTTCATTTTTTGATAACTTCCTTAATACCATCTCTAGCAGGATTTAAAAGTACCGAACACAGGTCGTCCCCCTGCTGTAGCCCTATACCTACTGTATATATTCCTGATGTTACGTTTTAATNAAGACCCATTCTCTCAACTGCTTCTTCTAGCACTCTGACTGCGTTAACTGTGTCTGCAAGCAAGTCACCTTAAATATCCAAATTGTCATCATATCCGAGGAGCCGTATATTATTCTGACCAATTAGTAGACCACCTTCATTTTTTGATAACTTCCTTACTACCTTCTTTAGCAAGATTTAAAAGTACCGAACACAGGGCGTCTTCCCACTTTAGCCCTGTACCCACTGTAAATATTCCTGATGTTACTTTTTAATTTCTCACTTTGTATTTTGTGTTTTTCGTACCCATTTTAGTTAGTGTTATTGATTTTTTTGGGAAATCTAGCTCGTACATGATATAGCAGAGTCTCTATTTGCGAATACTATCATAGTCCTATTTATAATCTACGAATTATTGTCAAATGTTGTGTCGGCACTCATACATCTTTTCTACTATTTGACCTTTTATGGACAATTATTCTGTAGTTGAACGAACTTTTCGGAAGTTGGATTTGTAATCACCTAATCAATCCTTCACATAAGGGACAATGCGATTTAGTAGTATGCTAGAGAACACTTTGTACGGAGAGTTCAAAAACGATATGCCCCTTTGCCGTCCAGTGTGCGTTAATAACCACGTGTCCGCTTTCCTCGTGACCGTTCCGATGCTACTCAAATGCATATCACCGACGGCGTGACGTGTTCACTGTTCACAGTTGTGACTATTTGGATCTTCAATGCCAGTTGCATCGATCCACTAAAACTTTGCCCGACCGATGGCGTTACCTTTATTTTCACCGTAAACAGGTTCACGATCAGCGTACCGTTTATTTAAGGTATAATTAATAACGAACGTAGAATTTCTTAGTTATATTGAAGATTAATAACCCTATTTCGCAGATAAATGAATAATGTTTTAATCCGCTCTGTGACGCCGTAAAAATCGACGATATCATTATTAGATATCAACAGACATGGATTCACGATATATTCAGTGGCGAGTAAATTTATCAAATCATGAATTCAATATTATATTATAGGTCGGTGTTTTCATATGTTTTTTTTCTAATAATCGTTTAGGAACTATTTATTTGTTATATAAGGTATAATAATTATTTAATTTTTTGAATTATTATTTGTTCAACAGAGGTAAGTTGGCGATTACATCATTTCACCATCATAAATCATTTTATCTATTATATATGCTAGTATACAATAACATTAGAAATTACACAAAATGTGTCAATAATTTTTCATAGGAGACACAAATCTATTATCCATGATAGACTATTATAGAAGTGTTATAGTTTTCGAATTTCAAACTAAAAATTAAACAATCTATTCTGGGGTGACCATTTTTTTTATAAAAAAAGGTAAGTTTTAAATGATTTAATTGATTTACTTGTCGATTTTTAGCTCCATGATTATTATTTAGTTCATTTTTTTGTCTATCATATGCGTTGTTCCATATTGGGTTTGGTACAAATATCATTAAAATTCCATAAAATATTCCAAATATTACCTCAATCATTAAGTCCTTAATGAATACGAATAATGTTTCAAATTCAATATCATCTAAATAAAAAATAAAATATAGAATTATTCAATATTTAAATTCATATTATATAATTTTACAAGTACACAAACCATATATCTGTCCATAATATGGATACATTATTATTATATTCACTAATTTTGTCTTTCAAAGGAGTAATTACTTCGGACGATAAATATTTATATAGTAAAAACGTTTATAACTTTTACAAATGTTAAAAAACATTTTCGAGATTTTGAGATAGTAGAAAACTATATTTATATTCCGCACGTAAGTACATAATGTATGATCAAACACCTGATTAAATAATAAATCTTGTACATTTCAAAAATGTAAAAGTAAATGTTTCTTAGTAATCTTCAATGTAAAATCATAGTTTATAAATAAATAACTTGGATAATAATAATCAACCCCAAATAATTCGTAGCAAAATGGTAAAAAATAAAAACCAAACTGGCCGTATTGTCGAAATATATGAATTAAATTTTAAATTAAGGAAATAAAGTGTTGGCAATTTTACAAAATATAACAATGTTTACCTTCTGTTTTCATATATCTACATCTTAGCAAAAAGTATTGTTTTTATAACATTTTCGGTACGGTCTAGGCACACTCGGCATAACCTTAGTGCTTGCCCAGGATTAATATTTTCTAAAAATGTATCCGGTTCTAAAAATTTTAGGAGTTATAATTAAATTGTAGTGACGTTCAAAAAGAAATATAAGCCCACACATTAAAAAGTATGAATTTTAACATAAAAAACCAATATAGAAATTAATTACAAAATTGTTTGCACATTTACAAAAAAAACCTTGAAAATTTTTTTATAACGAAAAAGAAAACTGAACATCTTGTTGTTATATAATTTGGAACGTGTACCTTAACCACATCCAAAAAATACCGGTATGAAAATTCTGTAATATTTTAAACCATTATTAATATTTTTCACAAAATCAGAATCTAAATGTGTAAAAGTAAGACGTTGTCGTAAATTCAAGGTTCTTCCTTAAACGTACACAGTAAGGGATCATAAAGCGATTCCAGAAAACTTCAGTATTTAGCTTAGCTAACCGGACAGCCAAGGGAATGTCACTCCTTGTGCACCGCAGCGTTCTAACATTAAATACCTACATTAGATTTCGATGCCGTAGCTAATTTTCCATGATAACAAGTATAGAATGGATTGAACCATTTGACCACAGTATACGAGTACCGTATTGATTAAGTAAGTAATTGAACGTATAGTTTATGTATAAATACAATATATTTCTAGCCTTCAATTGACCACGTTAGCGAATTCAGGTTTGAGGAAAGTCCAATTATGTTTTGTCACTTTTAAAATAACCACAAATGCCTTGGCACTCTCACTGAGATATACTCCTGATTAAAATAAAGTTATATCTAAGTAGTATAAATATGCCGGTTCTGGCGCAGCTTGATATTTTTCACTTCAAAAACTAATTTCTGATCTATATTTACATTGTTTTTATTTCCCGTATTTTTTATATGCATAAAATAAAAAAGTAATATTAAAAAAAAAATAAATTATAAAAAAATATTTAAAAATAATAATAAAAACAATTTACATAAACATTGCACTAAGAACAGTTCTCATTAACGAAAAATAAATAATATAATATATTACACATCGCGCGCAAACGTTGCATACAAATCGATAATGATTAATTAAGTCAAGTCTTATGTACCTAATATTATTTTTTTGTGTTATTAAAATATTATACATCTACCAATAACATTACAATTCCTGATATAAGCTTGTTTTCATTATTAGGAAACGTATGTTTATAAGAAAAGTTGCGGCTGGAATTCCAGCCGCAACTTTCTAAAAACTCAAACAAAGTTTTATTTCGTTCTAATATATATTTTTTGTTTCCTTGTTTACACAATTTAGTAGCATATAATAGTAGCACTAAAAATTGTTAATTTAAAAAATTATTTATATTTAGTGAATTAATAAATTCCTATCTTTTAGAATTTTACCAAATTTCTAGATGAAAACAGAATTGAGTACGATGAATTCTCGCTAAGATATTCATACTTAAAAATTCTCAAAATTGAACTACCCATAAATCGATTTTTAGTATATAGTGTAAATAAGTTCAAAAATAATATCGGTCTTTGTTTTACGTTTTTCTGATTATTATTAAATAAGTTAGAGCATTTAAACAATTTCTCCTTCCTTAATATATATTATTTATAAAATCTATCATTATATTGAAATAATATTAAATTTGTCTTAATAACTTAAATGTAGTAACTTTATTATACTTTAATGTCCTTGTGTTCTGGTCTAGTGGTAAATACTTCGATTATAATTCCATATGTAGCAGGTTCGAACCCAATATAAATTATAAAAAAATTGCAAAAAAAATTCATGCTAATATTTTAGTATTGATAAAACAAGATATGGTGACAAATTAAGTGTTATTTAAGATGATAAATTTAAATTATTTTTATCTGACCGATTTTAAAATAATTTTTCTCATAAAGAAATTGAAACAATCAATAAAAACACACAATAGCAAATCTTTTTGNTTTGTAAAGGTGTAAAACAACTTAATAACAATAAAATATTTTATTTGATTGAATTTGAATAGTTAAACCATATTTTATCTGTATTCTTTTTAGTACACATTTTATTTTAATTTAAAAAAAATATTATTTATAATAAATGAGAATAATAAAAATAAAAAATGGATTCATAAGGTTAGAAAATCCTATATTATAATTATAATTTAGTAAATATTGAATCGGATTGTTTATTAAAAGTCGAACGCAATATAATTGAATTAAAATCTGGAAAATATACTATAGACGAATAAAAAAAAAATTGTTAAACCATTAATAATTTCTATAGAAAGGGGTAAAATTAATATCGAATCTAATGTTTTTTTTTTTAAACTAGGCGAAAACTTAAATAAATATTTAAGTTTTGATTTACGAGGTTTAGTTATCACGAAGGTAGGTTTTCTTATGAACATAAATTTCCTAATAATGAAAACAAGCTTATATCAGGAATTGTAATGTTATTAGTTGATGTATAATATTTTAATAACACAAAAAAATAATATTAGGTATACACGATTTGACTTAAGTAATCATTATCGATTTGTATACAACGTTCGCGCGCGATATGTAATATATTATATTATTAATTTTTTGTTAAAGAGAACTGTTCTTAGTGCAATGTTTATGTAATATTTATTTTTAAATCGTGTTCTTTTTCTTTCCAACTATTAGAGGTATTTCTAAGATACCCCTGTTGTATAACTGATCATGTTTTAAATTTTCTTATGTTATTTTATTTATTTTTGTTAAAGAGAACTGTTCTTAGTGCAATGTTTATGTAAATTGTTTTTATTATTATTTTTAAATATTTTTTTAATATATTTTTTTTTTATTTTATGCATACAAAAAATACGGGAAATAAAAGCAATGTAAATATAGATCGGAAATTAGCTTTTAAAGTGAAAAATATCAAGCTGCGCCAGAACCGGCATATTTATACTACTTATCTACCATTATTCGGTTTTGCTTAATTATTATAAAAATAACAAAATAAATCAAATAATTACTATTTTAGTCACCAAAAACATTAAAAATTTAACAAAAAAATCCTTTGATAGTTTTCTATTGTAGCATATATTTTGGTAAAAAACATACGCCGAAACATTAAAATTTAACGTGGTGCCGTAAATTGGATAAAATTGTTTATTTCGTCTTTTTCTGCTTTCCCTAAGTGTGATGAAAATACTTTTGACATAAAAAAATGACTAAGGTTATTTGTGGCTCTTTGTTAAAACGAACGAAATAGAGTTCATGATATTTTGCATCAAAGTTGTATTTCTGGTAGAAAACACAAGTTGAATATATAACAACTAGCTGAATAACCCGGCTTCGGCTCGTGTGCAGTCTTTGGTATTATATATTTTTTGTTTTATATTACAGGTTGCTTTTTGATGTCTCAGAGAAATGTTGAAATAAAGCATAGCCTTTTAAACTTTATCATACCGTATAGATTTTTAGTTAGTAAGAATATAAATCAAATTTAATTTTTTGGTTTTTCCTACAAATTACAAAAACTATTTGAGATATCGAAAAAGAAGAATAATTGGAAAAAAGACGTCCTAGGGTAATGGGGACGAGTGCATTCAACGTTATAGATAATGTATACCTGTAAACAAGGATAAACCATTACATACTAATAAACGATTCTGAGCAAAGTTCAGTTGATAGTGGTGCTTTTTCAACAATATATATATGTATTCAATTAAAATATTATTAAATTTTAAATATTAATATTAATATTAAATATTTATAATTATAATTAAATTGGCTATATACATATTCTTTAATAATGTTTGTTTAATGTTGTACCGATTTTCTCAGTTTTCGTAGGTTTTCACGGTTTTACAATCCAGGTTATTACATTTGCTGGGAAAACTATTGAGAATAACAAAAATATGACTAATCTAAAGTACATTCCTAGTGAAATTTAATTTTTGAAACATTGTCATCATTAAAAGTTGGAGTAAAATTCCTGATTTAAAAGTAGTGCACGAAAAAAGAGTATGCCGTAATATATTTTAACTAACACTAACATTTCATTTATTTCCCCGTTTTTTTTCGGGTTTTCAAATTTAATTAAAAAACTCCCGAGGAAAACGAAAATGATGAAAAATGACTATTTTAAAGAACTTCACCAAATCGATTTTTTTTAGAAAAGGTACTACACGTAGAAGTCTAAACTAATGTTCTGATAGAAAAGTTGCGATCAGATAAAAAAAAAAAATAAACATCTTTGTAAAACTACAAGGTTCATCGTTCCACTCAGAATTTAAAATGAATTATTCTATAATAGAAATATATTATAAAGAACAGAATGGATTTCTTGTAAAATAATCATCGGGCTAACATAATAAAAACAAAATTATGAAGACGATAACGCCGCGGCCACCATACATTTTTGTCGTTTTAACTATACTTTTGAAGGTTTGGTAGATGCTGGCATTTAATTGTTGTGAGAAGTATGAAAGCGGGTCCACCATAAGCAGTTCCATCAGAATGATCAGATCTATATATACTGTAGCCTGGAAAGAAATTTTTAGATTTTATAGTGCAGTGTGTTTCAGAGATTAATGCGGTGTCTATCTGTTTTTCAATAAATTGGTTTAATAGCTTGGGCTCTTGTCATTTTAGTCCGTTTGCATTCCAGAGGAATACATTGAGAGAGTTAATATGTGTTTGTCTACTTGTCATCTTTTAATATTAATTTATTTATGACAGTCGTGAGGAGTTGAATAAGAAGATTAATTATACGTTTTAATTCTGATAAGAAGGAGTAAAGTTGTGTTGTTAATACATTATCGGGAGGAATACCATATGTATTTGAGTTTGCTATTGTTTTGATTTATAGTTTTGAGGGTAATTGTGAGTATTTTATTGTGAAAGATTTAGGAAGGCTTTAGTGTCATTGATATTAAAATTAGGTAGGTCTCAAGGGTACGTGTTGTAAGTACGGCTATGGCCACAGGTTTGGCAGTTTTGAAATTATGGGATTAGTCGTTTTTTATGAGATTTTTCGAATTTAACATTTGTATGTAGGAGAGAAGAGATATCAAAGATGTTACTATTGATTCCATTTGGATCAATGTCGACGAAGAAAAGAGGTAGAAATATTTTTGTTTGTTGGTGTTTAACGTTAGTGACGTTTTTCACAGAGAAGCCTATTTCTACTAGTGTCGAGGCGAAGAAGATGTGAATACAAAATTTTCTGTAGCAAGTATTTTGAGAAAATTATTGGGAAGAGTTACAAAATCAAGTACTCTGTACTGTAATTTGTGGTGGAGATAGCGCAGGTTTAGTGGATTTACTTATGTCGTCTGTTGCTTCGTTTGATGGATTCTGAGGTGAGTTCACTGTCACAGGATTGTCAACAAGAGCAAGGCTGTTATTTCTATTTGTCGTATAAAATATAATTTTGTTTGAGGAAGGTTTGTCAGTTAATGAAAGATTCCTATAGCTAGATTTTTTAGAATTATTTACGGAAGTATCTATATCTATATCAGAAATTTTGAACACATCACATGATGCATTCTGTATGAGACTGGACAAAGCGGAATTTGTTTAATTTTTGTTTGAGATTTTATTTTTCAAGTTAGTAGTATTTGTATTATTTTGTCGGTTCATTGTGCATGTTGTCGTTTTCACGACTTGGGAAAAATTAGATAAATGGCTGTCACCAGCAGAGCCGTGGAGCACGGAGGTCGTTTAATTACCATATACTAATAATAATTATCGATTATTTGATGTTTTGGGTTGAGAGGTCGGAATTCCGTGGCGAAGATGACAGAAGGATATACAGGCCGAAACCCTGAATTTTATTTTTTTTTTCTGGTAGAAAAGTTGTTCACAGATAAAAAAACATATTAATGTAAAATCAATAGATACCTTGCTACGCTCTGAATCTAAAATTACATACCATCGATGTGGATAGTATTAAAAATACTAAACATTAAACGTTTTCTTGAATAAATTGATAATCGTAGTTATAAAATGAAATGTTTAGTTTTAAGGAGGTATTTTATATAGGAAGGTAGGTTATATATAATATGAAATAAATAAATTATTTTATAGATCTTCTACTTACTTATAGTATACGAGTAATTGAACTTGTATGTTATAATTTGAGTAAAATACATCATTAAACAATCCGTAATGTAAGTCGCCACTTCCATTAAATTTAATGCAGCTATCAAAAGGGAAATCGTGTTATTTTCTTTACCGTGATCTTTGCGTTGTAATAGAAATAAATTTGGCAATAATGTGACATGGCTGATTATTGTCCAATAAAATCTAGAAATGTATTATTTATATTACCAATAAGACTGTAAATCAGTAAAATTAACATAGTGGTTCTGAGCTATGAGCCTGTGCTGATCTTTTTAACCGCATAGTGAACGTATTCGACGCAATATCTAAAATAATATCGATTTTAAAAAGTAAAATTTCTAATTGGATTACTTCTTACAATGGAAATAAGGAAGTATTTTTATCAAAATGAAAGGTTATATATTGTTTTGTATGTAATAAATGAGTGTCTACAAAAAAGAAAATATTTCTTAGATCATCATTTCAAAACAAGTAAGTTTTGTATTTTATGCTCGTACTACACGTAATCTACTACATATTATTTCGAAAATACATGTATAATTTTTTTTAGTTTATCACATAAATGCTTTACAAAAGAATAAAAAAAAAATACAGTTTTTGGTTACTTTTGGTTACTTTTTATTAGTGATGCTGGTTCCTTATATTATCCAAGCACCAAAAACATTAAAACAATTTTCCCTAAATTGATTCATATTTTATGTATAGCGCACGTAGTTATTAGAGTTCAAGAGACAATTTGAGAATTGTATACCGACATTAATAAATTGATTAACAATGGTCAAATATTAAGTGCCTATTTAAAATTGAAATACATAAGTAACTTATTTTTTTTATTTCAGGAAAAAATGCTTTTCTAAAAGCACCATCGAAAATAAATTAAGAAAAGTCATGCTGGGTATACTTTAAGCACCCGAACTTAATATTACAAGATGGAAAACGTGGTTAAATGCTGTACTTTTCTACGCAAAAACTTTTGAAGAATTTAAAAACGTGATTGAAAGTTCCACTTAGCAACTCCAAAGACAAAAGAAACAATAAGACAAGTGATAACAAATTTGACCACGTTCAGAAAAAGCAAACATAAGCTTTATTTCATAATATCAATTATATACGACTAATGATCTTCTATAATATAAAAAAAAAAAAAAAAAAAAACAATTTAAAACAATTAAATTATTAATTTTGTAAATTTGTCTGTCCTTATAGAGTCTATTTTCTGTAAGTTTCGACGGTTCACATAAACCAGGTATCCCACGATGGCCCAATCTATATTTTAATTTCATGTTTTTGAAAACATTTTAGATTCTGGGTGAAAAAGATTTTTTCTATTCTGTGATCCGATTTTTATGTGTAGTACCTTTTGTGAAAGATCATTTTTAACTTTTCCGAAGAATTATCTCAGCAAATTTATTATACTTTTAGATACTGAGAAAATATATTGGAAATCTGGGGAAATTGATATACCAATAAACAAATAATATTAAAAAAAATATAAAGTACCTAGTTAATTATTTTACTAAAATGTGACACATGAATTGTTGAAAAAGCAAAAAAGCATCAATATTAAATAAACTTTTAAAAGACATTTTAAAAGCCCTGTGTTTATGATAAGAGGAAATATGAATGTTGTTATCATACTCATATGTGTTAAATTTAATGATAACTATGTGAAATCAAAGACCTCATAACAGATCAGAGATCACATTAATTTTTAATGCTATAATTTATACATTCAGAATGTTAGAACCTGAGAACATTCGTTTGGGGTTTCTAATAGTCTTAATCATAATAAAATACCTTTATGTTTTAATGTAATCAAATAACATATCAAATTAGTTTATTGCGGTATGATTAGTTAAAAATGTAATAGATTAATTGTAAAATTACAATAAAATATGCTACAAAAACTTACCCGCCGTAAGGTAAATGATCAATAATAAGGATATCCGTATTAAAAATATTTGATTTTAAAGCCCAGAGCAAGATGAGCGATTCGACTGTTAGTGGCAATAAAATTATTCTTGTTAGTGCACCGCGAATACGTTGTAACTGCAAATATTGTATTTCAAATACGCNACAAAAGCAGTCTTAAGATAATGGAAACGTGTGCAGCCACTGTTATAGGTAATACAATATGAATCGCTAGGCTAAGATTAACCACTGCTAACAAAAAAACGATTTTGAGCAAAGTTAGTTGATATTGTTGCTTTTTCATCAATATACACTAAACATATAATTTATATCATGGTAATATAATTTCATGTTCATTACCTACATATTTTCTTCAATAATATTTGTTTAATTGCGTTTATTACGATTTTTAATTTATTTTAAAAATCCCGAAGAAATTAAAAAATGACTTCACTTAAGTATCTACCCAACTCTTTCCTTTTTGAAAAAGTGCTATCATTGAAAATCGAACCAAAATTGTTGGTTATGAAGTTGTCCACAGTATCACAAGGCACACCCACCCAACGGTAAGGAGTGTGACTGCCGTGTGCAGAGGTGCTTTTACGGAAAAACTAGGATCGACCAGTGATGTAGGTCTCCACCTTGGCCATGTATGTTTTATGGAGATAAGCACTGGAATGGTGACTGCACTAATGGACCAACCATGTCTGAAAAACGGTGGGAAAGCACCCAGGAATAGTACGCACTGCCGACACTCGCTAATCTTCCGCGTTGCATCTAAAGTTTTTTTCACCAATCAGGTCTTGTTTAGCACGTTCGAGGCAGTTAACGTGGCATTTAGTGTTATTCCAACCTTGTCCGGGAACGAACATTATCCCGTTCATTTTGTTGGCCACGCAGAAAGTGACCTACAACGTCAATAATCGGCGGGGCATCCAAGTTGTTAGTACAAGATCATCAATAAGGTGTATGAGAATCTTGTACTGGGAGCGCGCGAATCAGGATTACATACGTTTGATCCGTCAGATAGCGACAGTCGGAAAACGGGCGTAGTAGAAACAGATATGCAAATACAGGTTTTGGTGGTACTGCCCACCAAATCGGCCTCCAGTAATGTGCTTAAGAATCAATTAATTCATGCGAGGAAGCGTGGTTTTTCGACTTTTAATTCACTAATACGCTGATGAAAATTTCCACCTTCTACAGTTAATCTGAATTCCCGTCCGGTTTCGTGAAGGCTGAGTTAAAATCGTGGGCATATAGGTCTGTAGTCGAATTCGAAAATTTCAATTATATTCTTGATCGTTTGAAACGCAATCGGACTATACAGGACGCAATTGAAATTCTAAATTTTACGATTGTTTCATTTTAAAATAAATTATTTTTGTTGAAAAATATGAATTAGTCAGATTAAAAGTTAATGTAAACCTAGGTACTTATTCTATTGTTACTCTAGGGATGTTGGCCCAAGCGGCGTAACCCCTATGGCTCACTTTAAATTAATTTGTAAATTACCTACGAATAAAAATGTCTGAGAACGTCACAGTAAGTATCAATAACACGAATGATCGATAGTATATTTAATAATATTTCTATATGCATGTATTAATGTATACAAGATGTTTCGCATTGTTATATGACAGTTAAATATCGTTTAATCGTAATTTATATTTTCTATAATTCAGGTTTTGTTTCTGTGGGACAAACAAATGTAGAATAAAGGAACTTTCTTTTTTCCTTTATTTAAAAGTATAACTCTAACAATTTCATGTCATTTATTGACATGATCCGGGTGATATGTGCAGGTTTTTCGGGCGTAGCCAATTTGCACCAAAATGTACCCTAATGTATACAATATTTGAAATTTGCACCAACATTCTTTAACTGTGCTTTTAATTCGTATTAAAATAAAGTTATGTAATTTGCACCATCTTAGGTAGTAAGCATTAGGAATTGTAATTTGCACCAAAATTCAAATCGGTTATTCCTTTGATAGTCTTGTGATTACCAATCCACGAAGTTTCGTTATTACAATATAATATATTGAGATATGAGAAGCTAAGGACACGGAATATTACATTTCGATCTTGTATGGTTATTTCACATTACTATTTACACAGATTTATGTTAAGTAAATATTGACTTAATAGCTACTTTATAACAATATCAATAAACATTATTTTAAACTAACCACGGTAGTGCATATTGCACACCCTTATATTGGTGCA